ATTTGAAGTTGAAAATTGTGACAAAACTATGAATAATTTGAATAAAAAACCGAAGTAAAATGTTTGACTCCAGCTCCTTTCAACGCTCATAACTCAGTCCAGACTGAGATTTCCATATATAAGCCCATAGACAATTTCGTTTGTAATGTCATTCTAGATAATATTTTCCATAAATCATCGACTGCCGCCAGAAAAAAGAAAGGCACCAATTTTAATCAATGCCCTTTGTCTGTCAGACCGTCTTCTTGTAACGTGGTTCATTTTAAAAGCTTGATTTAAATATACGAAAAAAAAAACAAATAACAGAATACTCCGCTACTATTCTCTTCCTTTCGTATTAATGTATTTCATTTAATAATATTTTTGCGCGCTGTGTTCCACGGCAAAACATGTTGTACACAACATTTTATTCAACATTTTATTCAACATCTTGTTACCTACCATGTTTTGTGCAAATAAATAATTTTGATTTTGATTTTATAAGGAGGTACTATACAATCTCATGTTATTTGAAAAATAAATACGTCGAAGTTAAAATTAACTTCCTACACTAATTTTAAGAACAGAATTCCTAATTGTCCAAAGATGATTCATCTTATAGACACACCTATAAAGAACCTATAATAAATCTACTACTACACAAAATGAAATATAAATTAAAATATTAAATGCTTGTCCATAATAATCCTTGTTAAAATTTGCTCAAAGTTTAATCTCACTGTAATGCTCCTATACATCTGTGGCCTTGCTAGTAAAGGGCAGAACATGCAAAAAAGTATTCGAAATATTGTCACGTGTGTTGAGACGAAAACAAAAAAAAAATACAACTTTTTTTCTTTTTCCTGCTCATACGGCCTCCTTTTTGTTGTCGACCATACTTCATTCTTGTTAAACGAGTGCGAAGATAAAAAAGAAAATAAAAATCATTTTTATTAATCTGTGCACAATTCGTTAAACATTCCATTTGTTTGTTTGAGATGAAAGCAGTTAAAAATATTTAAAGTTAGTTTTATTTTGTAAAACAGTCAGTTATTTTAAAATGTACATATTTTGTTGTAAAGAACATGATCAGATCCAAAATCCACATGTTGCGGGTGTCCATGGGCGGCGCTGATTGCTTATAATCAGGAGATACGTCTGCTCGTTTGCCTTCTATTCCATAAAAAAGATCCAAGATTTCGGGTTTTAATTTTCAATTATTAACTCTAAAATATCTATCACTGGCTATCTGTTACAACTTAGAAAGATGATCAAAGTTATTTATGATACTGTAGGATTTAAATTAATCTAAGACTTTTCAAATTATTCTATCCATTTCCTGGTAGCAAATGGTATGAATGAAAAAAAGACGACCTTTATGCCAAACATCGACATTATACACAGACAAATCCGTAAAGATTTAAAAAGAATAAAAAGTATGGTACCTAATTGCAGTTATAAAAAAGAAATATAAAAAAAAACAACTAAACGTCGATGACAATTCCATTGCCTTCCATTCTGATTTTAAACGGTTTTTTTTTTAATTTTGCTATAAGAACCGAAGGTATTGCATCGCACAGTTGCAATAAACTAGCAACTCAACTCAACGCGGCAGTAACTACATGAAACTAACTTTTCTCTACTAATTTAATCTCAACTTGATTAGTCTTGTGGTTAAAAGGTATTTAACTAGTTTCATCCTGGTATTAATTAGCACTAGTCAAGCGTGTAACGAGTTTTATTTTATTATATTGCCCTCGACTTCATCCGCGTAGAGTAAAGTCTACTGGCAGAATTTAGGCTTTTGAATTATTCTTTATCAAGGGAATATTCTCTGGTAACGAATGTCGTCAGAATTGATTCAGTACCTAGTATTTTTTTTTTTAAAGGGGGGAAAATCATCAATTGACTGCTCCAGCCTGGGTGAGGCGGGAGAGAGTGTCAGACTCTTACTGACTAAAAACAACCCCGTTCCTTCTCCTGCACATCGAGCCGGAGCCCCGGTGACCCGTTAGGTTCTCCGTGACCAGTACCTAGTGTAGGGCTCCTCCCCCATAGATGATAACGTGATAACTTGCTAGTAATATTCAAGCAAAATTTTAAGTAAATCTATGTAGTACTTTTTGAGATCATCCCGGACATACATACAGACAAACTGACAAAAATTCTAAATAACATATTTTTGGCTTCGGTATCGATTGCAGATCATGCTCCAAGTATTCTTTTCAAAAAATATTGAATGCACAGTTTTGACTTTTCTACGATTTTATTATATGTATAGATAGATGTATAGATATAGACAATGTGCTATGTGTATGTATTTGCTATCTGCTATGTGTATATGTTTTTAAATTTAGTTATTTCCTATTTTTTTCTAATCTTACCTTATCTTGTCTTTTTACTTCAATCACACTTCTCTCTATTCCGTTCTGGCATACATTTATTTTTCTTTTTTTTTTTTTTTTCCGTTTCCGCAGCGAAATTATGTAAAACACTAAAATGTCAATGGACAGGGCATATGATAAGAGAGAGGAATATGAAATGGACAAAGACAATATCAGAATGGTACCCCAGAGATGGGAAAAGGAGTAAAGGGCGACAACCAAAACGTTGGGAAGATGACCTAAGGAAAACTGCTGGACCAGAGTGGATGAGAATTGCGAGGGATAGGGAAAACTGGAAATCTTTGGAGGAGGCCTATGTCGAAGGACAAGCTGGGGATAAAACTACTGATGTATACCTCTAGTATAGTAATCAATACATAGTATAAAACAAAGTCGCTTTCGCTGTATGTCCGTATGTATGCTTAGATCTTTAAAACTACGCAACGGATTTTGATGCGGTTTTTTTTTATAAATAGAGTGATTCTTAAGGAAGGTTTGTATATATAATACATGCATATTGCACCCGTGCGAAGCCGGGGCGGGTCACTAGTATAGACTAAATTGTAAATTGTAACCTCAGTAATAAAGGCTTATTTTATTTTTATTTATTTATTTTATGTGTATATGTGTCGTGGTCGCCCTGAGGTTTAAGTCGCCTATTTCTCATGCATGAGAGTTCAAAACCTATCAACCGCAAGTACCAATGTGACTTTTTCCGCGTTATATGTACTTTCTAAGATTATTTACACACCACTGACAAACGGTGAAGGAAAACATCGTGAGGAAGCCTGGGCTTAAAATTTTATATTATAAGTTTGTAATTGCCAACCCGTAAAGAGAAAGCGTGGTGTTTAATGCTCAAATCTTCTTCGTGTGAGAAGAGGTTTTACTCAGTAGTGGGCATTTATAGGTTGTTGGTGATGTGTATATTAGAAGGCAACTAGTCTTCTTAGTTATAAGATTATTATAGTACAAAAATAGGTCAAAAGCCGGTGTTAACACATACTCAACTTCCTCTGAGAGTTAAAAGAAGTAAAGCTCTTTATTTATTGTTTTTAATTCAAATGTAACAATTTTTCAGAAAAGATTTTTTAAAACTATACTTAATTCATCTTTTTAATACTTAATTATTTTATAAACCGACTTCTACCCCGTATCTCCTTTAAGTCGGTTAATTAATATCACTAAAACTAATTAACTAAAACCTTTTCCAAAGTGTAACACATTCTTTTCTGAAACCAGTATCAAGATCGGTTCAGCCAATCGCGAGATATTTGCGCACAAACATACATACATACATACAGTTATAACTGAGAACCTCCTTCTTTTTTGAAGTCGGTTAAAATCTAAGTCAGTCTGTTGTAGTTGACTTTAAGTTCAGAAAATTAAAGTTAAGTCACATTTAAATATATTAATAAACATTTTCATTGTGAGAAAGCCATGCTTCGGCACGAATGGGCCAGCTCGACCGGAGTGATACCCCGGCCTCACAGGAGACCGACGTGAAACAACGCTTGCGTTGTGTTTCGTCGTGTAAGTGAGGTTACCGGAGACCCAATTTCCCCTCCTTTCGCAATACCTGAATCCCTAACAATCTTCAAAATTCTAATCCCAAAAGGCCGGTGACGCACTTGTTAACATCTCTGGTGTTCCAGGTGTCCATTGCTTACCATCAGTTGGTCCGCCTGGTCGTTTACCGATTTATCCCATAAAAAACATATATTCTGTACCTTTTTCTTTAAGAGACCATTATTACAACTACAATTTTTAACGACTACGCTTTAATATAATGATTATATTATTATTATTATGATTATACCTATAACACATACATAATTTATAATTATTATTACAGTTATATATAAACAAACTAATTGACATCACATAAATTAACATTTGACCGAACAGTCAAAGTAATCTGATAATTAAGATACGTTTAATCGTTATATGCAACCGCTTGAAGATAGAGGAAAAGTAAAATTGTGCAAATGTAGCTAGATACATAGGTACCTAGAAGAGTTTACTGAGATAAAATTGATAAGAATGTGGGCTACGTCTATAAGAAACTAGAACAAAAATAGTTGGAAGTGTTTTGTACATAGAAGTACTTTTTATATTTTTTAAACGAAGTTTTAAGATTTGACATAATTTTATTTATGTAAGTGTTTAACTATTTCCGATTTTTATTTAAGTTTGTGTTGGTACGTTTTGGTACACAATAATTTTCGATTAAATTTAGTATCTGTACGAAAGAATATGTTTCCTGAAATGCGTAATTTATTTATTAAAAAAATTGAACGCATTTTCTTAATATTTACCTAGCTGATAAATTACGTCAATGCATAATTTAAAGTGTTACATTTTTGCAAGAAACATTTCCCTGTTTAATTTAATTTGAATATTAAATAACAAATGTAGTTGCACTACGCGGTACACTGTTGGTCGACAAACAATAATTAGTTTCACTTACCCCAAGTAACACTTGTATGCATCTCAAATAATTACTGAATAAATAATAATTATGAATTTTTTATTTTTTCAGCTTTCGTTTGTTTAGTCATCACATGACGAACGCACTTGCATAGACCTTCAAACATCGTCAACAGAACACAGAGACACTATGCACCAGATACCTACCTCCTCATCCCAAGAAGGTTCCGCATACTCCTGGTCTCCAGCCTCCTCCCGCCGCTCCTCCTTCATCATCTGCAGGTCTTTCACCACTCCATCCATCTGTTCCGCACTCAACCCTCCCCACACCTTCATAGCAGACAACAACTCCTCATCCTCATCAGTCAACTCCTCACGTTCCGGGGGCAACCGAATGGCATTTAATCGATCCAATTTTTCGTACAACTTGTCTTCCGGAGACGGTTCGGAATAGCGGTCGGGGGCGGCAGTTAACTTGTCTAGTTTTTGGTAAAGTTTGTCGAAACGGTTCGAGAACGGCGTGTCGGTGACATGAGCGGTTCGGATGCGGTGCGTAAGGAAGATCACGAGAAGGGATAGACGCAGCATCGTGCGAGCGCGGCGGCCGGGCGACTGGCGCGGGCGCACGCCACATGTCGCCACTCCAGTCCCGCGCTCCGTGAATGTGCCCGTCCTACCGACCGGGATTGATCTTGATTTTTTCAATTCATACATTCTTAGTGTGAAATTATTCACATTTCATACGTTTAGACCGTTTTTGTTATCGCCGGGATGTCCCGGGTTGTAAGTTTATCGCATTTATTAAGATAAACTTAGTATGTTTTTGTAGGTATAGGTCCAATATACGTAGAGTCAGTATTTTAACAACATGTATATTTATGTCAAATGACTCATTAAAACTCCCGTGTAGGTATGTACTCATTATTGTCTTCTTAAAAATACCTAGAAAACACAGTAAGCTTTCTCGAGTTCAAATATTTTTAATATGATAAAATCATATTGGAGACTCGGTTGCCATAGAAAAAATATGATAAAAACGAAAGGGCTGGTCCTTATTTTGTGTGGCATCAGATCTAGATAGGTCTCTACTAATTTAAATGTACCTACTTACCATAAAAACATGTTTTAATATAAAATTGTATCAACTGTTGAAGTAAATAAAATAAGTTTTTAATTATTTAGCATTACACAATATGACAAAATTACACTGCAATAGGAGATGACTCAAAGATATTTTTATTCATTAGTAAATATGCGAGTATTTAATTATAATAGTTACTATAGACTTCCAATAGTACTTAATTTGATTTTAAATTTATATATGATAATAATTTTAAATGATTCTTTCTATATGTTGGATTCTGCCATTAACGAACCTTCTTACTCCAAATCTATAAGACTAAACTCGAAACCCCCAAAACCGTAAATATTGCCCGACCCTGAAAATGAACCACACATGATCACGATCAACATAAAAAAAGAATAAATAATTTCATAAAATTACAAATGCAATCAGATCCTCAATTTGAAGCAATCAAAGGCAGACGATACTTTGACCGCGCATGCATAAATTGCATTGTTCATTCAAGCAATAAGTGTGGTACAGAATAAAAAATAAAGACAGAAGCATACTTTACATGTCCCTTTATTTGAAGGGTTAAGTAAGAAAAAATAAACATTTTATGAGATAAAACAGCAAACGAGAAGACAGATCACCTGATGGTAAGCAATCAGTGTCGCCCATAGACACTCGGAACACCAAAGATTATTTTCTTTTATACTTTATAGATCGACGTTTGACGACTATCTCGCCTGATGGTAAGCGATGATGTGGCCGACGATGGAGCTCGCCTACTTATGAGCAACGTGTTCACTTAGGACTTGAAGATACTCAAGTCATATTTTACGGGAAACACAGACTCTGGCAAGGAATTCCATTCCTTAGCAGTTCGCATGAGGAAGGTTGACGCAATGGTTCAAATGCATTGCCGGCTTTTTATCTTAACCTTATACTGATATAAAATTAGTTCTCATTTTAATTTGTGCCTTTATTTTTTTACAATAAATTATAAAATTAAATGTTAATATGGATGGGACTATAAAATCGGTAATAGGGCACATTTATTTTATATTAATCTGAATTTTAAGTGTCCACTTGACACTTATATTATTTTAAGTGTGGGAGAGCCACGCTTTGGCATGAATGGGCCGGCTCGACCGGAGTGATACCACGGCCTCACAGAAGACCGACGTGAAGCAACGCTTGCGTTGTGTTTCGTCGTGTGAGTGTGGTTACCGGAGACCCAATTACCCCCCCCCTTGTCCCCGTCTCCCGAATCCCCAAATCCTCCACAATCCTCAAATTCCCAATTTCGAACATACTTGTAACGCCTCTGGTGTTTCAGGTGTCCATGAGCGACGCCGATTGCTTACCATCAGGTGATCCGTCTGCTCGTTTACCGGCTTATCCCATAAAAAAAGGCAACCAATAATGAACGTATAATAACAAATAACAAAACCAATAAAAAAGCTAATAAAATGATAATAAAAGATCCCCAACGTCCTATAATGGGACGGCCACTTCATACTTAAGTATCTAAGTCACGATCAGCAGTCCGTCTGCCCGTCTGGACGCTCATTCATTGCAATCTGCATGTCTAGCTGCTTCCGTATATGCATGCTTCTTATATAAACTAGTAAATGTAATACAGTGACATGAGAGTACATTTATGCCACCCGTTACTCTTCCAGCGGGTCAGTCGAAAGAGCTAATTAACAGACGACGCAAGTAAGTACTGGTCTCCATCCAAAATATGTGGATTAAGATCAATTATCAACATTACTTAGACATAGACATCACGGCCCAATTACCCCCCATTTTTCCCCGATCCTTAAATCCCCAACAATCCTCAAACTCCTAATCCCCAAAAAGCCGGTAACGCACTTGTAACGCCTCCGGTGTTCCAGGTGTCCATGGGCGACGCCGATTGCTTACCATCAGGTGATCCGTCGGCTCGTTTACCGGCTTATGCCATAAAAAAAAGATCGAACCAATAAGGTAGTCAGTAGTCATCAAAGAGCATTCCAAATTGCTGCAGGGCTTAAAATATTCAAGTTATTGCGAACAAAATGAAAAAGAACTTACAATTCACACGTAACTGCACCTTACCGTTTGATCGTTTATTTGCATTTTTCAAAATGAGGTCAGTTTTAAGGTTCTCGTAAACTAAGTCAATTAATGTTGTAAGAAATTATTTACATTTAAGTATTTTGATCTTCAATATATGTATGACTTAACTAAAAACTGCGGGTTGCTCACGTGAATGTACTGAGAAAAGCTCTACTAGTTTCGAACTACAGAGGGGTTCTTCCTCATGAGCTGCACGACGTCGCCGCGACCGCGCAGCTCTCATGAGGTTCAAAACTAGTAGAGCTTTTCTCAGTATATTCACGTAAGTAACCCGCAGTTTTTAGTTAATGTATGACTTGTTTAAAATGGTGCAATAGAAACGTGTCAAACATTTTTTCTCATAGGACATAAGCTACACACGTAATCTTTGTAGGTACCTATACAACAAAGTAATATCAATGGCCTAAAACAAAACATAATATAGCATCACGCCTTTTACCCCCGAAGGGGTAGGCAGAAGAGCATATTACGGTATTTAATGCCACTGTACTATGTAACGCTCACTTTTTTCACTTTTTATGTTATGAGTCCCATGTAATAGTGGGTGAGCCTATTGTCATATACCGGGTATTTTTTTATTATGCTTCTACGGGTTAAACAATATTTTATAGACTTCGTTTAATAATATATTTAATAGTAAATGATTTTAATTTATTAAGAATTTATAATTTATATGATGAAGATTATACCTCTAATATATTATATTTCGTCTCTCATTCTTGGAATTCACATCATTATGCGCGTAACTTAACATGTTGGGTGACCAAAACACCAATACCGTTCGCTGCTTTCAATTAAATACAAATTATATCGAGACCTTTGAGCAAGACTGTTTGTCATCATAAACAGATATATTTTAAGAAGGAAAATGAATAAAATCAATAAGTGCCTCGCTTTGTAGTTTGTATCAATAAAGAAAGTAGCCTGTCCTGTCCCTCTCTTCTTTGATGCTCAACCGTAAACTATTACAATCTTGTGTCAGTCATCAGTATGAACATATACATTATTCAATTAGGTACTGTCCATAGTCAAAAATAAATTATTTCGACCGTTCAATATAATAAAATATAAAAAATAATCACACTTTCATCAATTGATTTTATAACCGACTTACTTTTAGTATTTTTCCAGCAAATTTATAAGAAATAAGTATGTTGTTTGTAAAAAAACGTGACTTCACTATACACAATCTCGTACAAAATTCATAGAAAACTGTCGTTTTTTGACAGTTCGAAAAAAGTATTGAATTCGACTAGTTGGCAAGTACCCAATTACTATTACCCTTCCACTTTTAGACAAGGCAGTTAGAAGTAATCTACATCACAGTTAAACATTGTTGCCAGGTTGAAAATAAGTATATTATTAACATTATCATTGCCGTACAACTTTATCTACTAGCTGTGTTGGTACTCAAGGTTTTCTGCAGCTGTAGCCAGATGCCATTTAGCGCTTGTCTACATGTAGAATAGAAAACCATATTATATGGAATTAACTAAAATCGCGGGTTACTCACGTGAATATACTGAGAATAGCTCTACTAGTTTCGAACCACAGAGGGGTTCTTCCTCATGAGCTAAAGTGACAAGCGCTAAAGTGGCGTTTGGCTATAGGCACTCTTATGACAAACAATAATTACATAGTTATTTGACGGTTGAATGAACTCGGTTTTTTTTAGACTTAATTATAGAATAATAAAAATAGAAATGGCTTACTGAAAACTAAAATATTTACCTACTACCTACCTACCTAAATATAATTGAAAAAAGGAAAAAAAATCAGGCATCAACGAAAATTATAAAGGGCAAAATCATAAATGAAAAAATATTGAGGCTATCTGTATTTAAAACGAACATAAAACAGACATTAATGAAATCTGTTTATTGAAACCTCATTAGCTACCATTTCATCACAAAGTTAAAATTAAATTATTGAGTCATATCAAAGACTGCTTGATGAAAGGAACTTAAGTTTGAAATCGCCAACCCGCATTGAGTAAGCGTGGTGATTAATGCTCAAACCTTCTCCATGTGAGAAGAGGCTTTATTCAGCAGTAGGCACTTATAAGCTGTTAATAATGATGATGATGATTTTATAGTAGACTCACTTTTTGCCTATTGATGCAATAGAACTCAATTCTATGATCTATAAAACTAACAACTACAAGAGCCTTTCGATTTTTCGAAAAATATATTGGTCCGTCGACTCATGGTAATCCTCAAATTAGTAGCCGTCGGGGATCGCGAGATGATCTCCGGCCACCGTAAGCACGGGCCTGCGGACGGCGAGCGCGGCTGACTCGCCGCCCGACCAGAACCAGGCCTGAGCGTACGGCGCGTCGCGTTCCGCGCGCGCCTCAAGGAGCCATCAGACCACCACAGATGGGGCCCAACAGGGCTGATGCTGACACGGAGGCGCGGCTTAACGGGTTGCCGGGGCTCTGGTTCGAAGTGCAGGAGAAGGAACGGGGTCCATGGGTTTTATTCAATAAGAGTCTGGCACCCTTCTCGCCTCACCCGGGCGGGAG